AGCATGAGCCCCAGCAAAGCCCGAGGCGTTCGGTGTGTGCAGCAAACACATTTCTGATGTCTCCCAGCTCTGGGCTGGCAGTGATGTGGCAGCGTGTGTTTGGTTAAGGTTTTGCCGAGGTTTACATAATCAATGTTGTAGTGAATAGAAACAGTTTATGTAAATGGAGCCAGACAGGTCAAGATGGCTGGTAAAGAAGAGATCATCTGCTTTATTGTGAATCTGCTTGTGTACATCTGCTCGTAGCATCATCTGCTCACAAAAGGCTCGGGATTTCTTGGTGAAGCAGAAACATTCATATTCTAATTCTTTTTGAAGAAAAAAAGAAAGCAGCTTTGTTTGAAGTCCTGTCAAAGTAATGGCTCATTATATATTTCTTGGAACGTGGGGCTGGAGGGAGTTAAGGAGATGCTGAATGCAGTTCCGAGTACCTGAATAGTGTCAGGGTGTTTGTTTCTGCCTTTGTCAGGAGCTTTTGTTTGACTTCTCTGGTGCCTTAATGTTGTGAGGTGCATGTCCTGGCCCCTTTGTCCCCTGACTCTGAATTGTGCCCTGAAGCCTTTATTGCAGCAGTGTCACTGTGTTAAATGCTGGAGGAGCCTGTCCCTGGCTGCAGGGGGTGGCTGTCACCAAGGCAGGTGTCAGTGGCCTGGTGCCCTTAAATCCTTTGGGGCTGCACGCTGGGGATGGGCAGCTGTGACCTCTCAAAGTCACTTGATTAAAATGATGTAAATTGAAGGGGGAACAGCAAACAGACATGAGCTGTAGTCAGTGGCTGAGTTCTGTAGCAGTGAAAGATTTGTACCTGACATTGAATGCTGTTTTTGGATGGGGTTTCTGGTAGTTGTGTGCATGTAAATGGAATATTTTTTATTAACCAAAGACTTTCTTGGTGTTTGCTACTCCTTAGAAAGGAGGTACAGCCTGGTGCATCCTCGACTTTGTTGTACAGACTCACTGGATTTTGCAATATCTAATGCATTTTTAAAATTTAACCAGACAAAACTCTAAGGTCTGTCCCTCAGTGTTGTTACAGTAGTAATTTTGAAATTGCTGCCAACATTTTGCATGTAAATTTTCCATTGACTGCCATTAAAATAAATGAGTTGGTTAATTTGGAGGCTTTAATGCTGAAGGAAGCCACTGTGAGTTATGTGAGCGTTTTTTTAGTGTGGGCTCTTGGACATCCTTGAATAAATAAGCTGTAGTTCTGCTTAAATTTAACCTTTTGAGAAAGCAGAATTAAAGGATAGGTCCTGGAGCAGCCTGGTCTGGTGGAAGATGTCCCTACCCATAGCAGGGAGTTGGAACTAAATGGTCTTTAAAGGTCTCTTCCAAACCAACCATTCTGGGATTCTACAACAATTCTCACTTGTGTTCACAGTCATACAGTTTGTGGTAATTTTTGGGCAACTCTTCTCATTGATGGATGACTTTATACTTGAAGCAACTTTAGATCTGAAACAGTCTTTTTGTGTTAATCTGAAGGGACATGCATTTTTAAATTCCTGTTTTTCATACTGTCTCTTTCTGACTGATCAGAGTTTCCACTACCACTAACCTCTTGCAGGGCAAATCAACTTTCTGAAGTGTCTTCTGCTTATAAACATATTTCTGTATTTTTAACTTACCTGTCTGGCTTTTGGCATCACTCTTGTTCATGTCTTGCTGTGCAGTTCAGGAAGAAGCCAGGGCAGGTTTCCAGTGGTGTTGACAAATGCAGGAGCAGAGTGGGATCTGTGCTTGTCCTTGAGTGCTGTTTGCTGCTGTGCATGGACTGACGGAGGAGGGAGAGTCTTCCTGGTGTGGAATTAAACTGGGACTTAGTTTGCACAGAGATGGATTTGCTGCTGCCAGGCTGAGGCTTGGTTTAATGACTTGGTGATTTCCTGCACTATCTGCTATAGATATATTGGGAAACTGCTTAGGTGACTCGAGTTCTGCTTTTAAGCCTTATTTGAAAATGTACTTTAGGTTTCATTTAAAGGAATGAGTATAGCACATAATGGGAACTACCAGTTAAATGTGTTCAAGGTCATGATTCTCTGAGAATCATTGGATCCAGCAGTCATAGCTGGAAGGCTGCTGTTCTGAGAAATAGATTTTGGGTTTTTTCGGTTTTTTTTTTTTTCTTTGATATTGACAGTGGCTTCTTGGTGACCTTTATGTCTTGTGCTGGGTTTATGGTGGATTTTATATGTGCATATTGCAAATGTGTGATCAGGGTCAGTTCAGAACTTGCAAGGAGATTAATCAAACACCAGAAGAATTGTGTCTGAATAGAACATTAACTGCAGAGTAGGAAAACAGTGGAAAGGATTATATCTGAGGAAAGGTCTGTGGATTTTTTGGAAAGCTTGTGTATGGCTGGATAGAGCAACCGTTTTGCTTCATTTAAGCTAAGAAAGAAAACATACTTGAGTTGGTTTTTTACAGCTATCCTATTCCTTGGAGTACTGTTGACTTTCTCAGAGTGCAGATTTGTATCCAGCTGTAGGCTTTATTCACAACATCTCAGTACCCATGTAAAATCAGAGAGCACAAACGTCAGACTCTAAAATCTATGTTTATTGAAGCAAATCACAGCATCAAACGTCTGCATCTTTAATGTTTGTTATAAAAAGGAAACTGAGTGCATTCTGGAAGTTAAAGTAATCCCCTTGGTGTGTACAGGCAGGAGGTCACACATGTGGAAGTGAAAGACTCAGGGTTTTTCCCTTAAAATATGGAAAACAGTTTACTCTGAATAAACAAGTCTGGGAAATGTAGGATTTGCCTTTGATGCATTTATTGTGTGGAACCAAGTAGCTGTTCCTCTTCAGCCCTGGCAGAATCAGGGATTAATAGTTTTCCATTTTCAGCTGAAATTTGTACATGGATAAATACTCTAACAGTCCACTTGGTTACTTTAAAATATGCATAAACCAAGACTTTACTTTCTAGGCTGTTAAGGTTTGTTTTTTGTTGCTGAAAGCAGTATCTTACTTAAGCTATTTCATGTTCCTTCTTAACAGCAGGCTGTTCTTTGACTGTGATTATTACAAGGTTGCTTGAGAACAGAATTTTCCTAAGAAGTCAGGAACTTATTATCCAGTTCAAACTGAAATTATGGCTGGTTTATACTTACAGAACTAATGCTGCTCTTAACTTGCTCAATAGTGACAGAAGATATAAACTTGATACTAACAAACTCCTCCTCCTGTACCCTGATGAGAAGGTGTGTGAGTGTAGTGCTGAGCCTGTGCCTTGCTCTAGCTGGGGTTTGTTAGTTCAGGGTGCCAGCAGGGGAGTTTACAGCTGTTTGCAAAGTCCTGCAGAAGTGTCTTGTTTCCTGTTGGTGTTGTCTGCACGTTCCCAGTTTGTCCTGAGAGCATGTGTGGCTGTGAAACCTTCCAAAGATCACTCTGGTGGGTTAGCTGCAGTCTTGTTAGTGCTTTTTGTGGTGTCACCTCAGTCTGGTTATTCTGCACTGTCATACTCGTGGCTTATTGTCCTGTGGTCAGCAAGGCAAGTGAAGTAGAGGAGGATTTGGTTTAAGCTCCCAGCTTGAAGCAGGATCTCACACTGGTTTCCAGTGTACTTTGTGCTATCAAATCCTTTTTTGCTTCTGCTGTTTGATACCCTAAATCTCATTTGTGTGGGGGATGCTTTTTCTTTTATCACCAGAAATCCTTATGTTTATTCTTGCTCCGTCCCAAGGTCACCACTGGAAGCTTGCACGTGACTTGTCACGAGTTGAAACCTTGAGGGACAGCAGTGAGGATGCTGGCATAGGGACTGTGCCTGCTTCCAGAGACTTCTGAGGCAAAGCTGCTCGTTCTGTTTGTTTTATAAAGACATCACTGAATGGTGCCCTTGCATTTTTCATTTCACCTGCATAGACCAATATGTTGAAGGGCTTCTGCCTTTCCTTCAGAGGGATTGTTTCCCTCTTGATGAGATGCAGTTTAGAATTTTATGCCTCTCTTATTTTTGTATCATATTTATTTTTATCCTGGTGTAGCTTTATACAGGTTAGTCCTGAGTCTTGAGTTCATAGTGATATCCCCATACTTTGGGGGATCAATTTGTGCCTTGTCTGACAAACTGTAAGTAACATCTGGGATTAGACTGCTTTAATCCTATTACTTGCTAGCCTGGAATAGTCCTGGTGCTCATGTTAAGCAGAGAGTACAGTTGGGAGCAGTGGGGGTTCCACAGCAGAGATTAGTGAGCTCTGGGGGCTGAGCAGGAGCAGGAGCAGTGCTGTCCCACCAGCTGTGCCCCCTCCGTGCTGACTCCTCTGTTTGACCTTGTAATGTCACCTCCTGTGCAAACACTCTCCCTGGGTCTCTGCAGTGTCCCTGGCTGAAAAATGATTGAAAACCAAAGAGCAGGGGGGACAGTGGGCAGCAAACTGTTTGTAGGGTTTTCTTAAAGTCTGAGTGTGCACTGTGGTGCTGGGAGTTGAGCACTAAGAGCAACCTGTCTTTGGGTTTGCCTAGGAATAAACATCTCTCCTGCTCTTCCCACAAACAGCACTTGTTGGCTCAAGTTAAAAGATCCTAGGATTCAGGAAGACAGTCCTTGTAGGAATTCCCTGTATGGTGAAACTTCAGCAGTTTTAAATATTTGGTATTTTGAGACTTGTCACTGAGGGGCTGTGTGGTGGGAGGATGCAGCATTTTAGTGTGATGGGGTTATGAGTGATGTGTGAACAAGGTGACACTGGACTTGCATTGTCTTCAGCTACACAATGCTTCTACAATTACTCCTGATTAGTGCAACCTCTGTTCCTAAAAATAGCAACTATCAGCTGTTTTGCAATGAAATTTCACTCAGTCCTTCATATTCCAGCCTGGAAGTGCTCGTGTGAGGTCACTGGGAAGCACGCCCACAGCTGGGCAGTACAGCAGCTATTGGCTCATGGAGGAGAGAGAGTAATTCAGCTAAAAGCTTTCCTCTGTTTCACAACAGAAATGTCATCTGGAGGGAGCACATTATAAACAGCAGTTGTGAAAATGGATACAGACAACGTCTGCAAAGCTGAAGAGTTTGCTGTGGTAAAAGCAAAGTGGTTTGGAGATGAGCTCTGTTTGATGAGGAATGATGTGAAGGTGCTGATAGCTGAAGGACCTGTTTAGGCATCCTGCTTTCAATAGCACCTTGTTTATGCTGGAGAGAGGGAAAGCAAGCAGGCTCTGCTTTGTGTTTCTGGAAGTGATTTACTTCAGGCCATTTAACAGTATAATTTTCAGTATTTCATGCTGACCTCACTGTAGATACAACTCGTGTTTCAAGGAGGATGGAGTAGATGTGGGCTGCACCGAATCTGGGCAGCACAAGGCTTCCTGTTCTCAGGAATTGGTACAAAGGCCACACTGAATGTATGTCAATAAAGACCTGATGTTCTTCTGTCATATTTATTGCTTGTATTAACTGTGATACAGCAACATTGCTGTATAGCAACTGATTGTGTTTACCAGAGGTGCCAGCAGGCAGCAGTGAGTCAGGTACTGTGTAAAATGTGTTGTGCTGCCTCCCCAAAAGAGTGGGGACAGGCAAGGAAAGTTATGAGGCAGCTGGTGCATAGTAGGTTAAAAGGAGAAGGCCAAGAAGCATTGTGGTCACCTCCTTGAGCACTGTAATGTTAACTGACCCCTACTGCAATTTTATTTTTCTCTTTATGTTCAAGGAATTGAGAATGAAAAGTTCTCAGTGTTTCTATCTGAGGAACGCTTTTTAACTTCTTGAAGCACTTACTGAACTGTAATGATGTTTTTAGTGGGCTTTCAAATTACTCTTCATCCAGAAATGTGTGTGCTGTCTTTAATTTAGAATCCATTTAATAAGTTGTCATGAAAGAATTTTATTCTTCAAACTGGCTGGCTTTAGCAATGCCTCAACAAACAGGTAGGCTTCAAACTTCTGAGGTGTATCCTCTTAAGGCATGGAAATGGAAATGTCCTGGGTGAGGACAGAGTGGGACTGACAGTGAAGACAATTAGTCACTGTATGAAAGTAAACAAATTGAAGTGAATAAAAGCTTAAATCTCAGCTTGCCTGTTACAAATAAACTGGAGCCCAAAGGTGCAAACCCTGGAGCACGTGCCCCTTGGAAAAGGGAAAGAACTGTTTAGTCTGGACACAGAAGTTAATGGGCTGAAACTTTGATATAAGCACGGCTGTATTTCTTCATGTGCAACAACATGAATTCATTTTGATTGTTGGTGTCTGATTTAGTGCTGGTGGAGGCAGAGCCTTTGAAACAGGAGCAGAGTTTGTGTGTGTCCTCCTTTCACAGGAGACGCTGTGCTGGTGAAAGATAGCGAGGGCTGCGAGGTTCCTGCTTCCCAGCACATGCTGTGCCAGGGTTCAGCACCTCTCAGGCTGACTGTGTTTTTTATGGAACATTGACTAATACACCAAAATGTTGCTGTACTTTCAAGCTGCCTTCCTCCTAGAGCATGTTTGACCTCTGAGAGCAAATAGCTGTGCAGCTCAATGCTTGGATTCAAAATCATTTTGGTGTTGAAGACAAATCTTTCAGACTTGATAGGATTCATTACCTTGTGCTTGCCCTAACCTTCCTGCTAACATACATGCAGTACTTACTTTGGATTGCATTCTGAATCTTAAAATTTGCTGGAGTAGTTTCTCAGTGCATCAGGGAGTGAGTTTGGATTTGTGAGTTTGGTGTGTGGCTTTCTGTGCTGGGCAGTGGGCACAAGTCCCATTCCAGTGTGATGGGAGAGGTGGCAGTGCCCTGCTGCCGGTCTGGAGAATTCAGAGGAATTCTTCCTAAGTGCTCCCTCATCTCACTTCTGCCAGAAGGTTTAATTAAATGGGCTGTCAGTACCTTGGTGGCTTTTGCCAAAAAATTACTGGCAAATTAAGCAAATAGAGTGATTTGGTGTTGGGGCAGCTCTGTGAGGAGGCAGGTGTTGGTTGGTTCATGTGAGCAGCTGAATAATTTCTTCCATCAGAGCAAAAACTGGAGAAGGAAGTTGGGCAACAGCCAAATGGACAAGCCTTGCATGGTTTTTTACTTCACTTTTGTTTTAGGCTGGGCTTCACTGGAAGAATGAAAATGAAAGCTGAGGGATGCCTCAGAGCAGCCCTGGTGGTGCAGCTGCCCTTGGATGGTGCTGGCAGTCTGGGAATGGCAGGATCTGCCTCCGTGGGCAGTGGCCATGGGAGCTGCCGTGCCTTGGTCTCACTGGCTGTGCTGGGATCTGTTCCCTAGCTGGGATGCCTTGCTCAGGGTGCCAGGGTAGAGACTGCAAGCTGCTTGTTTGCTTTTAGGATGTGCGCTGCGAATTTTTCCTGTAATTTCCATAAATATTTTCTTAATACCCAAATGGTTTTTCCTGCCCTTTTTGGTAATGAGTCGCTGTGCCCGTTTAAAAGACTTTGATGGAGCTTTCCCAAAATCTCTGTATGTGTTCTTTCTTTTGGCTATGAAAGATAACTTAGCTGGGTTTTTTCCAGTAGTTTCAGTCTGCTTGCTGTCAGAGCAAAAGAGCTTTAACTTTTGACTTGGGTTTGGTGTCTTTTTCCATGTTTGAGCACAAATGCTGGAGTTCCATTGCTCACTTAGCTGTGCCTTATCTCTGGTTGTGCAATTCCACTTCCAGCTGCAGGACTGAGTGCCATATATCCAGCTTTATGGCAAGTTCAGAGTTTCCAGCATGCAGAGACTGGTGTTATCCAGCAAACAGCTCTCCATGTAAGGATGCAGGGAGACTACAGAAAGTACAGTTCCCTCTGTAAGCAAAGCCTGGGTTGAAGTGATTAACAGGGTTTAAGTCAAGCTCTGTGTACCCTCCTAGTTTATTATGTGCAATGTGACTTCAAATTCAACTCTGATCACGTATTGCTGGTTTGCACCTTGAGCTCTTTGGAGGAGACTGGTTTATGTTATGGCTTTATTACTGGCAGTCTCTTGGTGTGGAGAGAACAATGGTAAAATGACGCTTTGTGAAAGGGCAAGCAGAGTGAGGAAAAAGTGATTTGCTCTTTCACCTCTGGGCATTGTGTGGCCAGTGCAGATGGGAGGGAAGGAACTGGATTTGGGGTTGGCTGGGGTCCAGTTGCAGACTCTATTCAGACCCAAGCCAGAAGGAGTATGGGCTTATTTGTAAGTTTTGGGCAGAGATGACAGTTGAGAAAAACCAGCTGTCTCACTTTTGTGAGCTGAGGAAATTAGTTCTGAATATGTCAGGTGGTAAAAGTGGGATGCTTTGTGCTGTGCAGAGACTGAGAAATGCATTAAAGATCAGTTTGTCATGCCTAAGTCAAGAGACCAAAACATTTAGCTGAGTTAAACTAAGATAAGAATGTATGATGCTCTTTAATATCCAGAAAATAAGTGTATTCATTTGTAAAAACAACTCATTTATTGTAACCATGAGTCCAAAGGAATGTTCTCCCACCTCCTGCACCATTCTTACTTGTGCCTGAACTAAGTGAAGCTTGTGTGAGTGATTGTGAGCAGCCTTTGTTTATTTAGTCATTATTAAATCTAAAGGCTGGTCTGGTTAGGGATAACACACATTTCATTTTTCTTCCTAGACTTTACTCTGTATTTGGAGAAACACTGAGTTTATTTGATATACAGACCTATGCAGTGTGACAGCTATTGTCAAAAATGTGAAAAAAATGTGGTATAGCAAGCAGAATTTGACAGAACCTTTTAGTTTCCTGTTATTTGTTGTTTTGGAAGAACAAAAATCCACATAATGACTGTTGCAATGGGCAGTTTGTCTTGGCATAAATGAATCCTGGTTAAAATCTGGAGAAGTTCTGAACAGGTGCTTGTTTCCCTGATGGTCGTAACTGCTTGTAGTGATGCCTCAGGTTTTAGCTTTTATATTTTTCAGATTCTGTGCTGCATTAGTGTGTGGGTCTGGGCTTCTTGTTTGGGATGGTGAGTTCTATTCACAGAGAAGGGAGACAAAATAATTCCTTCTCTAGCTGGGGACCATGGACAGCCCATCCAAATCTCAGGTCCAAGAACATAAACAATGTGGACTGAAGAGAGAAAAACAATAAGGATGGGACTTCATGGAGTAAAGCTGGAATTAGACAATTAGCTCCAATATGCAAATGGAGCAGAACTGATCAAAGTGAGAGAGACCCTGTGACCAGTGACATTTTGTGAACATTTTGGTTCACCTGGGGTGCAGCCCTGGCTGGGCTCTTGTGCTGCCCAAGGTGGATCCACTGAGGCCTCCTAATAAATCCCTGCTTTATTCTGTAACCCTGTCTAGTCTCTCTTCTAGGTCAGCCTTCCCAAGGCATCAGTAGCCTCAAGAGCTGCTGCTGTTTGTGCTGTGGGATAAGCTGTGAAGGATCTGCTGTTGGGACAGAACAAGGGGTCAGTTTGGGCTGGTGATGGCACAGCTGCAGAGCAGCAGTCACTCACTGCTCCTGCCTGCCCAGGCAGTTTCCTTGCAGGAGGACACTGAATCCTCAGCTCTGCTGGCACCACAGGCTCCCTCTCCCAGTCATTTTCCATCTGCCTCTGGTGAATATGCTGTGATTTACTGAGAGGTGTAGTGACAGGTGAGGTTGTAGTCTGTAACTGGAAATGAAGGATGTCACTGAACTGATTTTATTCCACAGCCTCCCGATGCTATTTGAGCTCTGGTGAGGAGAGGCTGTAAAGATGAATGAGATTCCTACCCCCCTCCTTGTTAGACATCAGGGAATCCATGTGACTGATTCTCACCTCTGAGAAAAAGATTCAATTGGAGCTGTCACCTCAGTAGACAAAGAAGGAATCCAACTGCAAGACATGTACCCAGAGGAAATCATGCTTTGCTGGTTCCCTGGCTTATGAAACTCCTTGTTTTTTCATTGTTCTCCTTGTCACTAGCAGTGCTTCACCTCTGCTGCCTGCAGTCGTAATAACAGTGTTGGGATGTTGAGTTTGAGTGAGTGGGAATGGACACAAATGTTCTGCTACCCCAGGTGACTGAGGGATGGATGTAGGAGAGGTTTGGGTATAGAAGAGAATAACTCTTGAGTGTTGTCTTTTCTTGGAAAATCAGCTTTTGTGAACACAGCCTGAAACTGCTTTGAGAATTGTCAGCAATGTCTCCATGTAGTTTAG